ACTGTCAGGAAATTTCTCCTTAGTTCTAGGTTGCTTCTCTCCTTGATTAGTTTCCACCCATTGCTTCTTGTTTTACACTCAGTGCTTTGGAGAATAGTTTGACTCCCTCTTCTTTGTGGAAGCCCCTGTGATATTGGAACATTGCTATCATGTCTCCCCTAGTTCTTCTTTTCATTAAACTAGACATACCCAGTTCCTGTAGCTGTTCTTCATATGTTTTAGTCTCCAGCACCCTAATCATCTTTGTTGCTCTTCTCTGCAATCTTTCTAGTCTCCACAATTTTTTTACATCGTGGTGACCAAAACAGGATGCATTATTCCAAGTGTGGCCTTACCAAGGTATTATAAAGTGGTGTTAACACTTCACATGATCGTGATTCTATCCCTCTGTTTATGCAGCCTAGAACTGTGTTGGCTTTTAGAACTGGGTGTGTTGGGTTAGAACTGGAGTTCAGCTCCCATCTCAGCCACTCCTTGGGAGATCTTGGGCCTATCACTTTTCGTCACTCAGTCTATCTTTGACAATAATTTAGTGGTTAAAGTGAAGGGAGATCCTTGCGTAGGCTGCCTTGAACTGCAAGAGCAGAGGTCCCTAAAGTTAGCAACTTTTAAGACTTGTGGTCTTCAACTCCCAGAATTCTGGGAGCTGAAGTCCACAAGTTTTAAGATTGCCAAGTTTGTAGCTCCTCTGGTAGAGCAACCATGAAATATAAATTGATAAAGTAATAAAGACTGATGGGGCAGGGTACCTGACAGTTGGCGTCCATTAGAGCAACATTGTGGATTCCTCCTGTAAATGAGCACAGCTGAAATTGTCACTAATGTTGTTATCTCTGTTTCATCTGCGTTAATTCCTCCTGTTTTTTTTTTCTCCTACTGTTTTCATTGGCAATGAAATCTGAATTGCAAGTTTCCTGTGGGTGGAGACCACTCTTCTTTTATCTTCTGAAAATGTCATGTAAACTGGTAGCACTAAATAAACCACTGATAATTGGTTAGATGGGGATTAAACTTCAGCAGGTGAGCCAAAAACCCAAGACAGGTTTGGAGGAGGGTTTCAAGGCTCACCAGTTCTCTCCCCTAACAGGATCCAGCCCCTCCGAGAAGTTTACAGCGTTAATCTGGGCGGTCTCACCAATTGTCTCCCTTTCTCAGCCCATCCTCAAGCTCACCCAAGCTGTCTCCAGATCCCAATACTGCGCCAAGGTAAAGGAATTTCTATAGTTGTTGTGGCATGATAGTTGCGGTGTCCTCCAAATCACACAAACAAAATGTCAGCGGGCATGTGTTTACGATGATTGCATTGTCCTGTGGTCATATAATTGCATTTGCAACTTTTCTGGCTGGTTTCTGACAAGCAAAGTCAACGGGAGAAGCCGAATTTGCTTAAGGACTGCATGATTCCCTTTGCAAGTGCTATGACTTGCTTAACAACCATTGCAGGCAAGCAATAACACTTAGACTTATATATCGCTTCACAGTGCATCTGTTTACAGAGTCAGCCTATGGCCCCCAACAATCTGAGTTCCCAATTTTACTGACCTCGGAAGGCTGGAAGGCTGAGTCAACCTTGAGCCAGTCAGGATCAAACTCTTGGCAGTGAGCAGAGTTAGCCTGAAATACTGCATTCTAACCGCAGGGAGGGAGGGAAGGAAGGAAGGAAAATAGCAATAGCGCTTAGACTTCTATACCTCTTTACAGTGCTTCACAGCCCTCTCTAAGCAGTTTACAGAGTCAGCCTCTTGCCCCCCAACAGTCTGGGTCCTCATTTTACCCACCTGGGAAGGATGGAAGGCTGGGTCAACCTTGAGCCTGGTGAGAATTGAACTGAGTTTGAGTTTGAGTTTGAGTTTCATTTTATTCATATGCCGCCCTATTCTCTGCGGGACTCAGGGCGGCGCACAAACCCAAGGAGGGGAAGGGAAAAAACCCACAAAAACTGCAAAAATACAGGGCATTTAAAAACAACCAACAGCCACACGATTCGAGAGGGGAAGGGAACTCATCGACCCCAGGCCTGCCGACACAGCCAGGTTGCTGAACTACTGGCAGTTGGGCAATCAGCAGAAGAGCCTGCAGTTCTGCATTATAACCACTGCACCACCACGGCTATAATGGATGTAAAATTGGGCAGATCTTACCTAACAACTGCCTTGCATAGTGATGGACGTTCCAGTCCCAATTCTGGGCGTAAGTCAAGGACTATCTATATACGAACATGCTGGTTTTATGTTGAAGAACGTGAAAAATGATCTATCTCCACCTAAAATAGGTAGCAGGACAATCCAGTCCAGTCCAATATAGGTAGTCCTCGACTTACAACCACAATCAAGCCCAAATTTGTGTTGCAAAGTAAGTCATTTTTTAAATGGGTTTTGCCCCATTTTACGACCTATCTTGCCACGGTTGTTAAGAGGATCACTGCAGTTGGTAAGTTAGTAACAGGGTTGTTAAGTGAATCCAGCTTCCCCATTGACTTTGCTTGTCAGAAGTTCGCAAAAGGGGATGGCATGACCTTGATCATGGGGATGATGAAGCAAAGGTTTTAACTGTGAAAAACGGTCATACATCACATTTTTCAGGGCCATTTTAACTTTGAATTGTCACTAAATGAACTGTTGTAAGTCAAGGACTACCTGAATCTCGAATGTCTATCGCCTCTTTCCCATCATCCTCATGTTTAATAGCAGCTCTCCTCTCCTTGTTACCCTCTTAATCCAGACCTCTGATGCTTTGGTCTACAACCTTTACATTGTGGTTCACACCTCTTGTGAAGATTGCTAGAAGGTGTCATCTTCCAGAGTTGTGCTATACAAAACTCACCAAGCTCTGGTGCCTTTTCCATTCCCTTGTATGTCAGAGGGGTGTGGCAGCCTTAGGATACACCTGGGTGGGCTAGTAACCTTTATTGCTGTCAGCAGGTCTCACCTTCCCCTTTAACTACAGGGCAAGTCCTGTCAACAGCCATGTCTCTACTGCAGATGAGCTCAGCTAACCAGGCCGCACCCATCCTGAGCGTTTCAAAATGTGTGGCAGTAAATAGAGTCTTCTAAGTATGTGAGCTCAGGAGTCTAAACACATTGTCCTCATAGCTTGTCTGCTTTAGAAGGAAAGTGTCAGGGTTTCAAATAGCATCCAAAAGTAAATCAGAGTCTGAGGCAAAGGATTCCTCAAAGTTCCAATGTATTAAGAGAGCCATGTTGGCACATCTGGGAAAACCCGAATCTGAAAGCTTCCCGGTTTTCCCCACCCAGTTGAAAGTTCAAGATCTTTCCCCCACACCCACAAGTCCATCACACGGTACAATCTTCTACTGCCATGCTGGCAGCTTCCACCCATCCAGTTCCAGTCAGGTGCAGAGACAAAGGATGACCTTGGCTTTCTAGAAAGAATTTTGTTATGGCTACATAGCATCTGACTCCGTACAATTCCCCACATTTCCCACAATAGAAAATGCATAGTAGAATAATAGAATAATAGAAAGTGTGGCAGGCCAAAGATCCAAAAGAAAAGATGGCTGCAGGCCTGACAGGAAGATTCAGTCTACTTCAGCAAAAGTACCAACGAAACATGCATTGGTGTGTAATCTAATGCATTATACAGGAGCCTGTTTGGGGTTCTTCTTAAAGATGCTAGGTGGATGCTGGGAGACCATGAGTTCTAGTGTTGAGGCCAATTATTACATCTCAACTCCTGGAAGAAAGAAATGGCAATCTGCTTCTAAAAATGTTGCCCAGAAAACTGCAGAGACCTGTCCACCCATCATACTTGCCAAGAGTCAAAAGTAATTCAGAGACAGGAGAAAGAAAGGAACAACAATGAAGGCTTGGGTTTCCTTTTGGAGAGGTTGAGTGGCAATTGTTTGGTCCTGCCCCACAATATGAATTACTGCCAAATCCTGCATTAAAAAAAAAAAATCTCATTCAATTG